CCATGGCAGCGGACCGGGATATCTTCGAGACCGCCTTCTGCCACAGATTACCTCCCATCGGCCTGTACGCTCCCACAGGGTGGGTCTCCTCAGGGTGCCGTCGGCCAGACAGTGCCGGCTGGCGACCCCAAGGGGGAGGGCCTTCTCTGTGGGAGCTCCCACCCTCTGGAATGAGCTGCCCCCAGAGATCAGGGTGATCGCTGATCTCCCTTCCTTCCGCCGCGCCCTTAAGACATGGCTATTCCAACTTGCAGGACTGGCCTAGGGGAAAATTTTAATGGGGTTTTAAAGCAATTTTTAAATTAACTTGACCAAATTACTAATATTTGTTTTTACTTATGTTTTTAAATTTGTAGTTTTTGGGGATTAGTGTTTTATCTGGTTGTTAGCCACCCTGAGTCCTTAAGGAGAAGGGCGGGATATAAATTAAATTAATAAATAAATAAATAAATAAATAAATAAAGGGTTTGCCTTCAGAGTTTGCCCAATTGCAAAAGATAAAGGGCTGTCCTTGGTTGATCTTGTCTGATCTTGTAGAACTATGGAGGTAGATAATATGGAATGTTTCCTCAAGCAGAATTGAAAGACAGTTTTCTGGACCGGGTGCCCTCATCAAAGTGGATCATTGAGAAATGTTGTACCTTTTGTCATTTGAATTGAATCTAAAGATACTATTCATAAGTAATCTCTCTGATCTTCTAAGATATTATTGCTCCAAAGTATCTGTGGGCCTCGATCTGTGTCAGCCTTACTTATCAGATATTGAAATCCTCAGATTGTGAGCAGTCCTTACCAGAATTTTACTCTTTGCCCCTCTCTCTGCCCTGCCTTTGGGTTATTAGTTTAATTCACACAGCATTTACGAGCATAAACAATATATGAATATGAGTATGTGTCTGTTAAAAATGGTATTGTGTTCGGCCAAAACCTAATTACTTTGTTCCCGCTTATGAATTATCCTGACCTTTATTACTATGCGGTTGTTCAAAATTAAAACTTACCCAGTGAACTATGAGCAGTTCAACATTGGAACTAATGACCCAGAATGGCTCTCCTTGATTTGGCTATTTTTGGGCAGAAGCTTGACAGTCATCTTTCTGGAATCTTTTAATTTGGATTATTGTGCTGTGCAGAAAGCTAGACATAATGGCTTTTACCAACTCTACCCAAGAGACTAACAACAATTATAGGAAAACTTTCCTATAGGACGTCTCCATTCACGGGACCTCATCCACGGGAGATCATATAGAAGTAAAAAGTACTTTCAGAATTATCACATCGACGACGGTCGGTCGTCCACGGAAAAGTTTCTCCACTGTCTTTTCTCCGTTTTACGTTTATTAACAAAATATACAGATAAAAAGGTTCTTAGGGTGGCCACTGATCATAACATTGACAACACAACCGCCACGCTCAGAGAATGGTTGAGGAACGTACAAACACTCTACCACTATATTGAATGGAGGCCAATGGATGACCCTCAGTAAGTGTTGGAGCAAAGAAATGCAATTTCTAAGTTACTTGATGGAACAAGTGTCAGCACATGAAGCTTGGGAATACAGGTTGGGATTAAAATTCTTGGCTGACCTTAGGTATTTTGAACATTGGGTGGGTTTTCCTCTCCCTAGAATCCTCCTGAGGTTGCTTAATGGGTAGCGAATTGAGAATTAGATGGCTCTCTATCATACATATAACAGAGGTTTTATTGGGTTGTCAAGTAGGCATTTTGTTTGTGCAGGAAAAAATGTAGGATTCCATAATCTTCTCTCTGCCTGCTCCGAAAGGCCCTCTGCTTTGATCTTCCCTGACTCAGGTTATATCCTCAACATCCTTCAATCTAGAGTAGAAATTTGCCAGGAAAATTTGCCGTGCTAGGCTTTTGTGCCAGATCTTGGCACTACTACAGAATACATCTCCTGTTCAAAATGCCTAGGCAGACTATTGAAAGTGCATGATTTTGTTTCTGAGGTTTGCCTCACACTAATTTTCTGTCTCTCCTGGAAACTAGTAGTAAAAAACAGGACCACCTAGACCAGATAAACTTTAGCTGTGTGTGTAGAATCTTTTTTGTTAACCACTGTTGCAATTTGCAAATAATGGTGGAATAATATAAGGCAACTAGCTGTACAATACCTATTCATAAGTAAGCTCATTGCATTCAGTGCTACAAACTCCTAGATAAATGCAGAGAGAATTGCAGCTTAAGAATATCTTTTTAAAAAGTCCTCCTGATTTATTATTGCTGATAGCAAAGCAGGAGCCTGAAAGGTATAAAAGCGAGTTGCCCAGACCTCTTTTACAGGCAGCAAGTAGAATTGTTTTCAGATGTAGAGGTTGCAGATCAAAGCTGTTGAGAGATCTAAAAATATTGGTTTTATCCTACTGGATCAGACTAGAAAATAAGTAGCCCACATTCTGCTTCTTGGTAAGCCAGTGATTTCTGGAAATATACAATGTGGGCTGTGCAAATGATGGTTATCTCATAGTTTATCATGCACCTGGTAGTATTTCTATATGCGGTTTTCTCTCTTCATAAGCAGTTTGACAACAATTTCTTGTCTATGACTTTTCATAATCTTTTATAAAGCTGTTTATGCTGTAAAAGTCCACACCTGGGTGGAATTCTGCATGCAAACTCATGTATGGTGTACCAACCTAGAGTGCTAGGTCTGTGGAATTAAAAAAAAACCCCATATTTATGTACAGTTCTCCGTCATTCACAAGCACTCATATAGGACAGGCAGTGCAGTGAAGTTGTATGTTCCAGTAAGTCCTTGGTACACACTCCAGGAATAAATAAATAAATTTGGAAGTATTTGCTCAGAAACATCATTGACATTTTCTGCTCTAACCTTTTGGGAGCATTTGAGGTGACTGACTATATTTGTTCCACCTGATTTTTTTTAAAATTAAAATGCTAAACTAAGAAAAAAATAATATTCAGCCTGGGAGAAAACACAGATTTCTTTTACTTTCTTTACTTTTGTTAGGTTTTATCCAGAGGAAATTGGACCGAAGCATTGGCCAAATTCCAGATTCACTCATGTGATGAAACTAAGGCAGGCTGCTCTGAGAACTGCAAGGGAAAAATGGTCTGACTACATCATGGTAAGATAAAAACCTTCCTTCCTTCCTTCCTCCCTCTCTCCCTCCCTCCCTTCCTGTCTCTTGTTTTTCCTTCCATCGAATTTCAGTTGACTGTAACTAGGAATGCTGGGATTGCAGTCGCTATGCGATACAGAAACCTGGAATTTTACAATCTCTTTGCTTAGTGATAGAAATTCCAGTTTAATTGCTGTTGTAAGGAATATTTCTATTTCTTCCAGAGTATGTTCCAAGATTACTAATAGGTCACTCATTATTTATAAGTTTCTCTTTTAATCATCAATCCAACAATTCTCCCATCTCTCCTTATATCTCTGTTCAATATTTCCAAACCTAACAGAAATAACAATGATGACACAGGACATCTTTGACTAGTCCCTTCCTGTATCTCACACGTTTTGTTAATTCCCCATTCACAATTATGTATGCCTTTTGTGAAATGTAAATTGATTTTACCCATTTCGTAAAAATCTCACCAAAGACACATGAGGATAGATTTCTGATGGAAATATCTTCATTATGTTCTTTTTATTACTTCACAAGAATTGAGAGAGTGATAGCTTTTAAAATCCAGTTTGTGATTAAGAGAACATCAAAACGGCTTTATTTTCAGTAAAATTTAGTTGGATAAAATGTAATGTTTTTTCCTTCCTATTTTTTTAGTTCACCGATGCTGACAATTTTCTGACAAACCCGGAAGTGTTGAATCTAATGATAGCAGAGAATAAAACTCTTGTGGCCCCAATGCTTGAATCTCGAACCCTGTACTCTAACTTCTGGTGTGGAATGACACCTCAGGCAAGTAATGTTACTGTTTTATATACTTAAACAAGATATATGAGCAAAGGAAAATAGATGGAATCTGAGAGAATTTGGATTTCATTTTCAACTCTCAAAGGGAAAAACAAGAATGTGATTAACATATGAATAAGATACAAATCATATGAATGAAATATGACTCTGGTGAATCAAACCGAAGGACCATCTAATTTCTCACTTGCCCCCCCCAGCTAGAAGAATCTCACCTACAAATTTATGTTAACATTCTTTCAAAGCCATTTAACTAAATCTTGTGCAAATGATGTTGTGCAGTAGTAAAATTAAGCTATTAAGGGAAGAGTCTTAAAATGTAGTAGCAACTTTGGGACCATTTTTTTCTCCTTCTCCTTCTCCTTCTCCTTCTCCTTCTCCTTCTCCAGTTTTTATGTTGTACCTTCAGCCCAGTGACTTTACTCTTAATTTTATGACTTTCTATTCTGGGGATTAACTGCTGATTTACATATTAAGTTCAGATGTGCAGTTGGCATAGGATGTGTCAACTGTTTTATGGAACAGGAAGCCAAAACGTCTTCTGTTTGTCATGATTTGGTTTGCGTACATTTCTGGGTTTATATTCCTTCGAACTAGGAACAACCATATGTAAATCCCAGTACACTGTTGAAAGATAGCTAAGACAGGTCAATAAAGAGGGAAAACACCTTAATTCTTCATCAGAATTCTATTTCAGTTTGAATATTTTTGTGAGTCATAATTTGGAATAGTCTTCAGATCTCTGTTTTTGTCATGATACTTTTGCATCTTGGAGCAATGTTGGAAAGTTGTGTTTCTAGAACAGACATGTCAAACTTGCGACGTCACGTGATGTCACGCAACGTATCGGAGCTTTTTCGCCATTGCCGGCAATGGGGTGGGCGTGGTTTCCCGATGATGTGTTTGGCCCGCAGGCCGGCAGTTTGACACCCCTATTCTAGAATGTATTGTCAGATAGCTGTTTATATAACTAAAAGAGCTAGTCATGTAACTAGCACAAAATATTTACCAGTTCATGTCAAGTAGAGCTACCTAGAGTGGGATAGCATTTGTCGCCTTAACCAAAGGAGAATCCCATCATTAATGATGTGATGGAATATAATCTGGATTCCCATGACGGAAGGAGTGCACTCCAGAGGAGCAAGGGACAACTCAGTTCAGATAGTTTGCATGAAAGAAAGAGGGTGAAGACGCTCCTGACTAATAGTTCCTAGAGTATATGCTTTATGGGAATGGTAGCATGCTTTACTCTGGCAAAATTCTGTCTATAAGTGAGAAACAATAAAGAAATCTACCTGGAAGAATCACAACATGTCTTTCTTGGTTTTTAGAGCCTGACATATAGTCTGTGTTGAATGTAACAATAGTTTAGATAGCTTTCAGCTTATGGTCAGATTTTTGAATAAATAGATTGGCAAACAGGATGAAGGTCATTTGTTATAGGCAAGAGATTTAAAAAAAGAGTTTAATACTGTATACTTTTTTTTAGGGCTATTACAAGAGGACACCAGATTATCCTCTGATCAGGGAATGGAAGAGAACTGGTTGCTTTGCAGTCCCAATGATACATTCCACATTCTTGATTGATCTGAGAAAAGAGGCATCAGATAAGCTGGCATTTTATCCCCCACACCAAGACTACACCTGGACCTTTGATGATATCATTGTTTTTGCCTTCTCAAGTCGCCAAGCTGGTAAGGAGCCATTGAATAACCCACATTTAAAAATTGTGAGTTCAGGACAGTTTTGATATCCTGCAACATCATTCATAAAGAGAACTTCGAAAATTAAAAAAAAATCATAAATAAATTACAGCACTATTTGAATAATAATAGAATACTTATTGTTCCTCACATATAGACAGAATCCTGGCAAACTAAAACATATTATCATGATTGATGATGATGATGATGATGATGATTTTACAAGATAAAGTAGATATGAAGCTGGAAATGAGGACAACAGATACCTGAAAAATATTTTCACCTCTTCTCCATTATGGCATTTAACAGATTAACTGAGAACTGACAAGAATTGCAGTCAGCTGCTTGGTTTAGAGTATGGAGAATGTAAAGGGGCAGACACACACAATAACTCCTCCACAAACAACCCTGTGATGTTAAAATGTCTGAAAATGCTTCTGTTATTAATAAACTGGCCCACAACTAGACCAGATGACCAAGCTTGAATTCCTCTTTCTTTTCCCTGCTGGCTAAAAAAAGAACTTTAAAAAAAGCTCAAATTTATTTTCAGCCTCATACTGGGAACGTACTTTGTTTTGTCTGCAGCTTATTAAATTGCGTCTTCTGGAACTTTTAACTGCTTTGATTTTTCAGCCCACTGCAGTAACTGGGACATGTTTTATTTTTCCCTTGTTGGTTTCAGTGGTTTCTAGTTCCCCTGCCAAGCCCCAAGAACGAAAGAAAGGACAGGTGTGTATTGGAGCACATCTTGCACATCCATGGGACAAAAATAGCATGTCAGGCTGCAGCTGGTTCTTTGGCCCAGCCCTATCCATCAAGGGTCCAGTGTTTCTAAAGGCTCTTGCATTCTGGTTTGGGGAGGATGATGCTGGGATGAGTCCTGTACCCGATGTTTTGGTAGCTCAGGAGATTCACAAGGGGTTATATTTTGGCACAGCCAGTTGAAAATGCAAAGCCTGAACAAGCCAAGGGCAACTTCATTGTACAAACACGGTCAATGCATTCACGTTCATTAGGAAGTTAGGATAGACAATTACTCCTCACAGAGGGTAGTCTAGTTGTAATTCTTGGTTTGGCATTACAAGCAAGCTGTTAATCTGGCATGTGTAAAGCTACAGGAAAGCCAACTGATTGTTTGTCCGTGTAGATCAATATGCCTACTCACCCGGGAGATCATCTTTCAAATTAAAAGTTATGAAATTTTTCATGCAAGGCCTTAAGACCCCATTTGTTAAATGAAATCATTGGCTGGGAGGTCTAAAACCACTTTTCCTCAGTTGTAGTGTGGATGCCTCAGTGATTGTGGCAGTAAAGGAATGGGATAAAATAACAGAGTACGAAGGGACTTTGGAGGTCTTCTAGTCCAACCCCCTGCTCAACCATTTAAGTTTCTTAAAAACTTGCAGTTTCAAGATTCAAAAATTTAGCCATCTTTATTTTTATCCCCTCCACTTTCTTTTATTGCTTTGTTGGGGAGGCTCTCCTTTTAATTAACTTTGTGCTGCTTGAGTCTGATTGACTCTAAGCTGGTTACAAACGTCGAAATACAGAATAAAAACCACAACAAATCTAACGTTAGAGTAATTGCTCATAGGCTTGCTGTACTGTAACTCCTTTTCTCCTGCTGCCCTTTTCTTTTGTCTCCATGAATGAGGCAGCGGGCAGAGATCTGTTCATTGTGTTCAATGTCGTGCTGAATGCGTCTGATGGCTCGGCCATGTGGTAGGGACTCTGCAGCCTTTGATCTTTTAGAAGAACCTTGAGGAAGGTGGAGTTCAGTCTCCAAGACTCGGCCAAAGAGACCTGATGGGAGTCCCATCTTTTCTTTATGAGCACAGTTTTTCTCCTATATCTCCTTCTCTTTCCAGACATTCAGATGTACATTTGCAACAGAGAACATTATGGTTACCTTCCTGTGCCACTAAAATCACACCAGTTGCTAGAAGATGAAGCGGACAATATTGTTCACGTGCTGAGTGAAGCAATGAGTAAGTTACATGTTTGGCCTCACATCCCTACTATTTTGGTTTCCAGTAATATGGATTTTGTGTTTTTAATGTATTCTAGTTAACTATTGGGCAGTGAATAAATTTTGGAAATAAACATTCCTACCCCTCTCTCCCATTATGATATCAGTTCTTTAAATAATGAGTTAGAATTTAATGGGTTCAAATGATGGAAAATAATACAGGTTGATTATCTGAAAAACTTATTTTATATATATATACACTGTATATATATACACTGTATATATATTTCTGTGTAAATTGCTAATTCATTTTTAGGTAGATTTTAAAACTCGTTATTAAATCTGGCCAACCATTAGATGGCAGCAAACTATTAGGTCTACGCTCCAGAGTTTTGCAGTCTAGCTATAGTAGCCCTATTCATTGTGTGATTTTGATCACGACAGACATAAATATTTCAATATTGCATTATCTATTATTGGACTAGAAACATGCAAAGAATGGAACAGTGAATCTAGTGCCATTGGCTCACAGGATCTCCTTGTTTGGCTTAATTTCTACCCTTACTTTGAAGTACTTTTGTAATGATGGTAAAACAGAGACTAAATAGTCCCATGTTAAGCCACACTATAGTTTGATATTGACTTAGCATGCTGAGTCAATGTTTTCCATGCCATGGTCAAAACAACCATGGTTTGGGCCAAAATACTTATCCAGCTATCATTCTCCATCATTGCTAACCACAGAGGGGCTATGCAGCTCTTCAGATTTAAAAGGGGAAAGGCAGTTTGGGGTATACAAGAATTCATGAAGCAGGTACTGGCAACTCCTTAAGCAGCTGCACCTTTTTGTGGAATTGCATAACTGCTTCACAATCCTTGAAAAAGATGCATTTGGTTAAAGGCGTTGACAGATGCTTCGCAGGTACTAACATATAAACCAAAATACTAGAGACTTCTAAACTATATCGATTAATCCTAACAGGAGCTGATGCTATAATCTGAATTGGGGACTAGATCAGAGTTTTGATGGATGCATCCTGGATATTAGTTACACAAGTGTCTCATTTGTCTTAACCAATCACAGTGCCAAATTGCAGGTGGCACGTTAAATAATAAATTCCTGGAATTTTTCTTCAAACGTAACCTCTTGTGAACCTGTCCACTGCTCGCAAGGAAGTGTACTCATAGCAATAGATATAGAAACTTAGCAAGCAACTTTTTAGAACTCCTCCAATAGTTATATTACAAATTATGATTCAGTGATAACAAATGTATGGGAAGAGTAACCAATTTTAATTAATGCTAGTTACATTAAATTAATCCTCATATCCATATTTTATTTATTTGTAAAACTTATTAGCCACCCATCTTACCACAAGGTAACTCTGGGCGGCTTACAAACTACAAAACCTACAGATGTAAATACAATACTAGGAAAATCCATAGAGTCAACCTAGCTCAGGGGTAGGCAACCTTGGCTCTTTTATGACTCGTGGACTTCAACTCCCAGAATTCCTGAGCCAGCACTGATGAGGAGGGAGGGAATATGTTGAGAAAGGGGAAGGGGTGGGATCTCTTGTTAATCTATCAACAACCCCCAATGCGAAGCCCCGCCATTGGAGCCCCAAGCCAACTGGCAGAGCCAGGTCTTTAAGCTCTTGTGGACAGTCAGGAGGGTTGTAGCTGACCCCTTTCTGGGGACAAGATGTTCCAAAAGGCAGGTGCAACGGCAGAGAAGGCTCTTCCCTTGGACCGCACCAGCCGGAACACATGGCCAATGGGGCCCTCAGCATGCCTCCTCTGTCAACAGTGGTGGGGTGGACCAATCCCAGTGGTATGAGACAGTCCTTCAAGTAGCCTGGACCCATGCCATGAAAGGCTTTAAATATGATAACCAACAACTTGAATCGCAACCAGAAGCAAACCGACACCCAGTGCAATTCACAAAGTAGGGGTGTTACCGTGTTTCCCTGAAAATAAGACCAGGCCTTATATTAATTTTTATCCCAAAAGATGCATAAGGGGTTATTTTCCGGTTGGGTCTTATTTTGGGGAAAACACAGTACTAAATGTGTCTGTCTGGCTGACGATCTTAACTGGGGCTTATTTTGGGTTAGGGCTTATATTATGAGCATCCTGAAAAATCATACTCGGGCTTATTTTCGGGAAAACATGGTACGTGGGCCACCATTGGGGCCCCAAAAATTGTGTTGCTACAGTCTGCACCAGCTCTAGCTTCCAAATGCTGCATATTTGGAAATGCAATCTTTCAAAATCAAGATTAGCCTATCATTTGAAAAAGAGTTGCATGGTCTGCTTTATTGATAAGCTTTTGTTCTTTTGCTGTAACAATATCCTAACTACATTTACAAAGGAGTATGTTTAAAACTAAAGAAGAATTCTTGCTATATGCTACTGACTAGTGCCTCACAGCTATGCTATTCAGCAATACGCAGAGCTCTGTACAAGTCTGTTTTACTCAAAGCATGAATACGTTTAAAAACTGTCAGTATTAATGTAATAGGATAAATGTTCTTAATCTCTTCCAGTTGACCATCCTCCAGTTGAACCCTCAAAGTTTGTCACAGTTCCTCCAAAACACCCTGAGAAGATGGGATTTGATGAGGTAATGCAAGAAAGGAGGGTGTCTCACTCAGCATGCCAATTTTTGCAAAAGGCTGAGGCAAAATTCAGTAGGAGTTTAACTCTGACCTCAGTAACTTCCAATACTGAATGTCTCACCCAGCCTTCCCTAAACTAGGGGTTTAGGGGTCTCCAGATGGTTGAGTTTCAGCTACCATTATTCCTAGAAAATGTGGCCAAATATGTTTGTTGGGCATGATGGGAAATAAAAATATCACATATACTGCATAGAGCTCAGTGATGGTCCATGAGAACACAATGAACGTAACATGACTCAGCCTTCCATCCTTCTGAAGTCGATAAAATGAGGACCCAGATTGTTGGGGGCAATATGCTGCCTCTGTAAATGGCTTAGAGAGGGCTGCAAAGAACTATGAAGTGATATTAAGTGCTATTGCTATTCAAAATGCTGGTTTCTTTTTTTAAAGCAAGCAGGGATTTAATATCTACTGTAGGGTAGTATTACAGGTCACAAAAATCAATTTTCTAAATTTGTTTTTCTCTTAAATGTGCTATGGAAAAGAACGTAGGAGAAAATTGAAGTATGATGATGATACTTAATCTATTCTATGCCTTTCCGGCAATTCCACCTTGCAATATCGCATCACTGGTTTTGAATTACATTTCCTGGAGCCCACAAGTATCTACATTCTAGTATGAGAATTACTACGCAATTTGAAAGCTATTGATACAGGGACTCACCACATACAGTAATTAGATGAAGAGGTACAGTTAGTCCTAGACCAGTGGTGGCGAACCTATGGCACAGGTGCCAGAGGCGGCACTCAGAGCCCTCTCTGTGGGCATGCGCGCCGTCGCCCCAGTCCTAGGCCTTCGGCTGGGTTTTATAAAACCTTTTCGCTTTAGGCCTCCACCACCGTGTGCAAAAAAAAAAGTTCAATTAATCAGTCAATTTCAACTTCTCGCGGGAAAAAAAAAGATCTTGCAAAGTTGGAATTGATTGATTGATCTTTTTAGTCCCACCCAGTCTGCTGTTATGACCGCAGCCACGCCCACCCAATGGGCCACACCCAGCCAATGGGACACACCCACCCGGCACCCGACGATGCATAAGTGGGTTTTGGGTTGCAGTTTGGGCACTCGGTCTTTAAAAGGTTCGCCATCACTGTCCTAGACATACAATCTTAATTGAGCCTAAAATTTCCATTGCTAAGCAAGACAGTTGTTAAATGAGTTTTGCCCCATTTTATGACCTTTCTTGTCACAGTTGTTAAGTGAATCGCTGTATTTGTTAAGTTAGTAACACAGTTGTTAAATGAATCTGGCTTTTCCATTGACTTAGCTTGTCAGCAGTTTGCAAAAGGTGATCACATGATCCAGGACACTGCAACCATCATAAACACATGCCAGTTACCATTTGTCCGAAATTTGATCATGTGACCACAAAGAGGCTGCAACAATTGTGGGAAAACTGGTCATAAATATTTTTTTTCAGCACTGTTGTATCTTTGAACGGTCACTGAATGAATGGTTGTTAAATCAAAGATTACCTGTACTCTGCCTGACTCTTTGTGTGCTGAATATAACCTATGTCACCCAAGGCATTTCAATTGGGGAATATAATAGAGGGCAAGTATGATGAAACCCAACTATGCCAACTTGCCTTTAACCTTAATCATGTGGATTTCTAAGAGGTCTCCATTGATCTGATTTGCAAATGTGGCTGTGTGTGCGTGAATGGGGCCGTGAGCATGTGCGCTCTGCAAATGGGGATGCTAGCGCTAGCGTGTAAATGGGGATGCTAGCGCCAGCGAGAGGCTCACAGTTGGTGGCCCGGCTAGTGCCGGCAAGAGGCTCGCTGCATGGCTAGTGCTGGCGAGAGGCTTGCGGCTCGGCTAGTGCCGGCGCAAGAGGGAGTGAGCACGCGCACATGCACGTGCACACTGGCCAGCCATTCACACGGCCCGGTGGCCAAGAGGCCACGGAGCATTGGTGGGCCGTGGCCCATAGGATGGGAACCTCTGATATACAGAACTTCATCTGTCTGGCTCACTTTTTTATTTTAAAAATGCTCTTATTTGTGATCATGCTTTGTTTTCCAGCCTTGTTTGGATAAAGCTGCTAAAGCATGTTCTGCCTACTTGAGCTTGGGGTACACCGGCATACTTATTTTCTTCTGCACACTCACAACATATATTAATTCTGTTGGTTGATTTAATCCCCCTAGAATCCTTTCTCTGATATCCATCATTTACGCAGGCTTATCAGTCAGCCCTGACTCTTAGTTCTTAAAGCCACCACATTTAGCCATAAGGGTCTGCTATTCAACTCCAAATTCCAGGTACAATTCTACTGAGGATGCATTTATTAGGGGCTGGTCAAACTAACCACAGGTGAAATTCTACAATCCACCCTGGTCCATCAGGAACATCTCTGCTGAGATAGCCTGCATTTATTTTATCTCCCACATAATCATAGGGTTCAATCAGTTAGAGGGGAGCAGAGCAGTGATGTTCACTCACTTTCACTCCCTGAGTGCCAAGGCTGCTCTTGTTTGCTTGCCTGCCTTCATAAGCCCAATAATACTCCTGCCTCAGCAGGCTTTATTTATGAGGGAGCAGCTCAGACCTTTCTACCTGCTGCTCATGTGCTCTTTTTCTTTTCATTTTAGAATGAACTCAGAGTTAAGACAGGATAGTTGTTAGTAAAGTCTGGCAGAATAATTAAAAAGGCACACACTTTCCTTTTTTCCTACAAAAACAAAACATGGAGAACTCAAGGCAGAGAAAGTGACCCTCACATAGAAAATCTCAGATTTAGTTACCAAAGTCTGGCTGGAGACTCCCATCCCCAAAGGGTGTCCTTTTCCTTGAAACTGAATTAGCAATTCTCTCCCTCCTCCTCCAAGATGGGAAGTTATATTTTAGCATTGGCTGTCAGTAAAACTTAAAGGGGTGGGGGGAACCGCACATGTTATTGTTTTGGTATTCCTCCATGCTTCTGGTCTCTTCCTTTCTAGATTTTCATGATCAATCTGAAGCGTCGAAAAGACAGACGGGATCGAATGCTGCGGACTTTATATGAACAGGAAATTGAAGTCAAGCTAGTGGAAGCTGTGGATGGAAAGTGAGTTGAGTTGATAAACATTGCCAGGCACGGAGCTGTAAAATTTGGGGAGCGGAAGGGGGTTGGGGCCACCTAGTTTAAGGACTGATCATAGCATCCGGCCCTCTCAATTCCTGGCAAATAGATGGGGAAGAAATGGAGGTAGTGACAGATTTTACCTTCCTGGGCTCCAAGATCACCACAGATGGGGACTGCAGCCAAGAAATTAAAAGACACTTGCTCCTGGGGAGGAAAGCTATGGCAAATCTAGACAGCATACTAAAAAGCAGAGACATCACCCTGCCAACAAAAGTACATATAGTCAAGGCCATGGTTTTCCCAGTTGCAATGTATGGCTGTGAAAGATGGACCATAAGAAAAGCTGAGCGCAAAAGAATTGAGGCCTTTGAACTATGGTGCTGGAGAAGACTCCTGCGAGTCCCCTGGACTGCAAGGCGATCAAACTGGTCAATCCTAGAAGAGATCGACCCTGACTGCTCTTTAGAAGGCCAGATCCTGAAGTTGAAACTCAAGTACTTTGGCCACCTAATGAGAAGGAAGGACTCACTGGAGAAGGGCCTAATGCTGGGAAAGATTGAGGGCAATAGAAGAATGGGACGACAGAGAATGAGGTGGCTGGATGGAGTCACTGAAGCAGTAGGCGTGAGCTTAAATGGACTCCAGAAGATGATAGAGGACAGGAAGGCCTGGAGGAACGCTGTCCATGGGGTTGCGATGGGTCGGACCCCATGGACAGCGTTCATGGGGTCCGACTTTGCAACTAACAACAAGTTTAAAGACTGTGAAAAATTAAAGTACTCTATGTGATTTGGGATACATTTATCAACTGTTTCTCAATTATTCACCTGGGATCATCGGTAGGTGTGAGATGCACCCATTGATAAAGACAACTCCCTCTCTGTCACATTGTTTCTGCTCCAGCGTTGCTGCTACCAGCGACTTACTTTGTCAAATGTGAGCCATGCTGTGTATCTCTGCGCTTGGGAGACTAAAGCATTAAATCAAGCTTGATTCAACAACATTCTTGCTCTGCAAAATAATTGCCTGCTATCTCTCTCCCAGAGACACTGCTCAGAAGCTTACTTTCTTCCTTAATAAGTTTTGTGTGTGTGTGCAGATATATGGTGTATATATTTGTCAGAGGATAGATAATTATCAGTTGAGCATCTTCTTTAATCTCTTTAAAGAGCAAAAATATTTGTCTCCCACCAGCAGCTATTTACAATAGTGTTTTGTACACAAAGGATTCTCACATCGTCTTTAAATAATTAACACTTTCCTCATTTGTAAAACTGGGGAATTTTTAGTATCTTAACCATGTTTTCTTGTTCATTTAACCTGGGCTTGCCTAGGAAATATTTTCTCTGTAGAATTCCCTACAAAAATTCTATAAATCCAGCTAAATTCTCCTTCAGTGGGGTCAAATCCTGTACATTTCGTATTAGGCACAATTCTGAAAGACAGAATCCACATTTTTATTGAGTTTCTAAAGTGTTACAAATGAGATCTTCTAAAATATGTTGTAAGGAGTGACAGTACCACTTTTGATTGCAAGTAGAAATAATTATTTTAAAACATTGGTTTATGAAAACAGTACTTTGAAAGCTGAAAGCAAGAATGTTAGAAAAAAATAATAACTCCTATTTTACCACACTGCATTGATTTCTATCTGCAGGGAAAGTTTTGTTTTTTTTTTGCTACACATTGCCTTATGTTTTTTTTAAAATAGGTTGTGGCTTTCCTTTCCATTTTCAAAATGTTTGGCTAAGGAATGTAATCATTGTCTTTTTCAGGTTGCTGAATACAAGCCAGCTGAAAGCTCTAAATATAGACATGCTTCCTGGTTACCAGGATCCATACTCTTCTAGAGTGCTGACCAGAGGAGAGATTGGCTGTTTCCTTAGCCACTATTATATTTGGAAGGAGGTAACCAAAATTTGCTTATCCTCATTGTAATTGACAGAAATGCTTCCTCTCCTCTCCTTTCCTTTCCTTTCCTCTCCCCTCTCCTCTCCTCTCCTCTCCTCTCCTCTCCTCTCCCCTCTCCCTTTCCTCCCCTCCTCTCCTCTACTTTTTGCTAGTCTTGGAGATAGGCTCATGATGACGAATCTCTTGGAAGACAGGCATTTCTACTGGCCCACTTACATTCTTCCAGAGAAGGCTACCACAGATAAACAGCTCATGGGATAATTTTATTGTAGACTTTTTTAATATGGTAGTCAACAAATAAGAACATACTCAGTTTAGACACTGTTCAACCCCAGCTCAGTTCTAGAAAGTATACAATAAAACCAAACTGAATGAAAATATAGTGCAATAATTATAAAATAAATTTAAAAGGCATTAAAAAACCAAGAACTGATGGGGAATCTGGCAAACTATATCCACACTCAATCTAACAGGAACTCTATCCACCTAATCCAAGGCCCAGAAGAATAGATATGCCTTTAAATCTTTCTGGAATATTAGCAGAGTCAAAGTCACATGGATATCAGAGGGTGAAACCTTATTCCAGAAGACATGCTTCCTGGTTCTTGACAGATGAGATTCATTAATTGAGAGGAGAGGAGAGGAGAGGACCCCGAGAATGCCAACTCATGTCGGAACAAACTGGCAAGGCTGCTATGGAACATAAGCAATCCCTCAGGTTACCAGGCCCTATGCCAGACATGTCAAACTCGCGATGTCACGTGATGTTGCGCAACGTATCGGGATGGTTTTGCCATTGCCGGCAATGGGATGGGTGCGGCGCCTGGATGACACGTCCGTCCCACGGGCCGGCAGTTTGGCACCCTTGCCCTATGCCATATAAGAACTTCTAGGACATAACAGCACCTTGAATTGTTCCTGGAAAAATACTGGCAACCAATGCAGCTCACAAAGCAAAGATGTCACTTGGGAATATGACCATCACTGCATGTGCCACTGCATTCTGGATCAGTTGAAGCTTCTGAGTGCACTTCAAGGGCAGCCCCATGTGCAGCATATTCCAGCAGTCAAGTCATGAGGGGTTATGAGTGATTGAGTTTAATTTGAATTATTTCAAATTGTTATTTTAAGATAGTAAGCAGGGAGATGGAGAAGTGCCTAGTCATTGAAGATGATGTACGTTTTGAGCATCAGTTCAAAAAGAAACTCACGAAGTTAATGGATGACACTGAGAGAACGCAGCTGGACTGGGAGTTTATGTAAGTAATAATCCACTAATCTTGCTTCTGAGTGTCTTTCCTTCCATGGAATTGAATGCTCTCTATTAAGGAAATGCCATACATTTGGGTGCATTTTAGCTTAGAAATAAAAGTGAATAAGGAGATAGGTGAAAGTGGGCTCTAAAAGTTGCAGTGAGGAAAATTAGACAGGGAGAAGTTTTTGTCTCATAATACAGGTGGTCCTCAACTTACAACAGTTTGTTTAGTGAACATTTGAAGTTAAAATGGCATTGAAAAAAAGTGACTTATGACCATTTTTCACAACCATTGCAACATCCCCATGGTCATGTGAGCAAAATTCAGACGTTTGGCAACTGACTCATATTTATGACGGTTGCAGTGTCCCATGGTTTTGTGATCAACTTTTGTGACCTTCTGACAAGCAAAGTCAATGGGGAAGCCAGATTCCCTTAGCCACCATGTTACTAACTCAACAACTCCAGTGATTCACTTCATAACTGTGGCACTAAAAGTCGTAAAATGGAGCAAAACTTACCTAACAAATGTCTCACTTAACCACAGAAACTGTGAGCTCAGTTGTGGTTAAGGACTTACCGGTAGTGAGGATGCTAAGAGATTTAAGACTAAAATAAGGAGATTTCCTTGCTGAATGTTTTAGTATAACCTTCTGAATTAATTACCATAAGACATAATGATAGCCATTGACGTGAACATATATTGCACATGTTCATCGAGGATAAAGCAACCAATGGCTGCTAGTCACAATATCTGTATATTGTACCTAATGGTCTTTTCAATCCCAATTGTTGGGGTATACAAGTAGAATGGTGCTTTTCATGCATGCAGGATCCCACTGTAGGGCAGAAGTCCCCAACCTTTTGGGCACCAGGGTCCGGTGCCATGGAGAAAGATTTTTCCGTGGACCAGAGGGGTGTGGTTGTGTGCACTGCCTGCATCCCTCAGATGGGGCTTCGCTTGTTTGTGCGGCCCGGTGCTGGTCCATGGCCGGGGGTTGGGGACCCCTGCTGTAGGGAATGAATACTGGGCCAAGTGGCCTTTGATCCAGGGCAGGAATTGGGAAGCTTTTATGTTAACCCCACAACTGGCTGTTTTGTTGTTGTTGTTCTTGTTGTTGTTAATTCTTACTAGTTCTTTTAAAAAGAGGGTTTACATGAAGCTCCTGGGGATCTGGCCAGAGAAGCTGGCACCACAGGTGCTGAATTTAGATGTTTCTACACCACATCATATCGGCAAATGGAATATGGTCCAATGACTCAACTTTTTCTATATAGATATATTGGTCGGAAACGGATGCAGGTAGAGCATCCAGAAAAGGCTGTGCCCAATGTGATGAATCTGGTGGAAGCCGATTACTCTTACTGGACACTGGGCTACGCGATCACCTTTCAAGGAGCTCAGAAGCTAATTGGAGCTCAACCTTTCAGCAAGATGCTCCCTGTGGATGAATTCTTGCCAGTCATGTACAACAAACACCCAATGTAGGTTATTGGCTATGATTACTGTACAGTATAGCTTGCGTTAGGTGTATGTTAGCTTTATATACTATGATGCATTCAGCAGCAATATTTATCTTATCAGTAAATAGTTGCTTCCTGCAATGGTTTTGGAGCTTCAGGTTTATGGAATACTTTTCAGTGGGGATTGAACATCACTCCTCCTATAGCTGGTGTTGATTATATTATCTCTTCAACAATTACATTATCACTTCTACAAACTGCTGTTTTATGTGTGTTGGAAATGACTGGCCATGATATAAATGGGAATGCTTTGTGGGCAGAGCCCATCTGTATTGGGCACATTGCTTCTGGGATTGTGAAACTCAAGTCACATTTTTTAATTTAATAATTGTATATTTATTTTCTTTCATACAGACTCTCATGACAGTTGACAAAATTAAAACTTTTCACAAAAAGTTGGAATATAATTAAATATCATATTAATTCTAATATAGTAATTTAAAGTATGACAAAAGTGGTGCATTGTCACAATTTTTGAAAGGCTAAGAAAAGTGTTCCACAACCGGGGAGAATGACAGGTGGCTGGGCTTCTGACAGCAGAATATTTCCAGAAAGGCTTTTCCCACCAATCTTAAAGATAGAAGACTATTTATGGCTTTACAGATTAGTTGTTCCTGTTAAGTAAATAACAAGCATTGTGGATCTTTGATCCCTATTCCTGGCAGTGGTTAGCAGCCTTGCTGCTTTGTCACTTCCAGGCACTTTTCATGGGCAGCTCTACATGGAATGTTTTATAAAGATTATGTTGAGTGTTTATAAAGATTAGACAAAGCCAAGGCATGGCTAACTATTGCTAAATGTAACCAGCTTGGGGAGGTTTGCAGCTGGTACACTAAGTGAAATTGCATAAAAACACTCCTTTACACCTGCTTAGCCAGTGCCAGTTGAGGATCAGTGAGCACTCCCAGACTGCAGAACTGTTTTCTCAGAAGGTGTTTAATCCCTTTCAAAGTCCAGATTCCTGTAGTAGAGCAACAGCACATTGTCTTTTCTGAATTTAATTTCCATCCCATTACTGAATGAAGGGTACCTGCAAGAGTACTTGAATTCTGCTCAAGATATAATTATCTGAGATACCAGTCTTGAGCTGTTGCTCTCCAAAATCTCTTTCTAGATTTGGCCTGACAAAAAAAATTGCAGTTGCTGCAAAACAGTCCTTCCTAAGGTCTAGTCCCCCAGCAAGTCTAAAAGAGAACCTTATTTGATAATACTGAATGCCTCCAAGGAAACTGAGGGCAGCATTTGTTCCCTTGGGTTTCCTATGTAAGTCATCCATTAAGATGACCCAAATGGACTTGCCACCATATTCCACTGGAAGCTCAAATCATTGCATCTCTATATACATTTAAAGCTTCCAGGGATATTGAAGAGTTTTAATAAGGCCAAGTAATCTTATGAGGAGACCAGTGATAGCTTCAGATATCTTTTAGTTGGTGAATGTGTTTCATATTAAAGCTTGATTACATGTCTTTCAATCAAAATTTGAAATAAGGTAAATTATATATGGAAGAGGTTTTCTTGATAGTTGTGAGTTAATTTATGTTACACCTTTGCTTAATAATTAGCTGTGAACCAAATTCTGCCAATACTTCCTTACAGTTAGTGTTGAACTTGCTTCTTGTTCCTCATTTTTTTAAAATTATTGACCATGTATGGCATATTTATTTTTACAGCTGATCTGCAAGGCCTTTATGTTGAAAAGTGGCTTATCGTTGTAGAAAATATAGCAGTCCTCCCAACACTTAAATAAAGTACATCAATATATTATCTCCAGATGATTAGAATTGAGGGATGTGAATATAGGTTTACAACATTGATAAGAGAATGTTTAATGAACCACTCATTTTATAACCATTATAAGTTTGTCCTGCTGTGAGATACAAAAGATATCAAAAACACATAAATTGGCAATCTTCTTAGTGACTTATTTTCTTTTCCTTTTTAAGTGCCAAATACATGGAACACTATGAACCTAGAGATTTGAAAGCTTTCTCTGCAGAGCCTTTGCTGATCTATCCAACACACTACACTGGACAACCAGGTTACCTCAGTGACACAGAGACATCCACAATCTGGGACAATGAGACTGTGGCCACTGATTGGGACAGGACACTTTCCCGGAAGTCGCGGCAACAGGGCCAGATCCATAAAGATGCCCAGAACAAGAATGCCTTGCCACCTGGACCTTCCCTTGATGCATCATCCACCAGAGACGAACTATGATTGTTAACTGGATCAGCTACAAGTTACTGTAAACATCAGTGGGACTTCTGGAACTTCCAGAGATACTGATATGCTATCTTCCTTGGCAAAATAGTTTGATATGACTTGCTTGAACTGAGGAGGTGCTTGTCTCATTTTTGCAGGGTGAGTGGATGAACCTGACTGAATGAAGGGTAGTATATTTTAAAACAAATTATTGAAAGGAGCCCTGGTTTTGGCTGATTGGCTTGTACTAAAGGAAATTCTGTAGAGCTGCTGGAGGACTCTAAAAGGAAATGAGGTTATACTCAGGACAAAGATTCCTTAACCAATGTCTTTCTACAATTCTTGGTGTAGAATTGTTGTATTTATAAAAAGTAATATATACAAGAGTTAGGAAGGGTCTACCAAGTTTTTCCGTGTTAATTATCAATCTATTGTCTGCTGCATTGCCTGTACTCTTGTTGGTTTTGATTTTGTGAACCATATTCTGAAGCAGAAATGTTAGACTGTTCCAGTTCCTAAGGCTAAATGCTAAATAGTATTGCATATATTGAAATGATCAGATGATGGACAAGATTTCCCTTATGTTCATCACATGAATTCCCCATGATATTATTTGGTTTCATTTTTAATCATAAGCTATGAACAACAACTCATTTGTCACAAGAATTTCTGGAGTTCACAATTTTTAATATTTATCAACAGTTTTCCATCTTTATCCTTCACACCTCATGAAATTTAGTGAAGATCTCTACTAGATGGAGAACTGAGAATTGATAATTAGACCATACATCTTCCTCAGCCAGCAGCTGGGAGTGACATGCATCCTGATAGAAAAGAATATATGTAGCTGAGGGTCGAACTGTGGAATCCTTGGTGCCATAATCAGAGATGTTACCTAGTCGGGTAATGAAACATCTGCAAGCAAACAACCAAACTCAGCATCAAGGACTCCACAGCACATGGGCAGGTTCCATTACAAACTGGATTTGAATATCCTTTCAAATATCCTTTTAAACACGGTGCTCATTGATAGCTTTGAAACACACTTTCAGTCACAAATGGTACTGTTGCATGCAGTAAAGCTCTCGGTAATTTATCTTTCATGCTTTTATGACAAGAGGAAGAATTTCAGCTCACATCTATAAATTCGGGCTGAGTGTATGGAGGAATAGATAATCAATGAATAATGGACTTGAAAATAACAGTTACCTTTTCCAACCCTTTAAAAATCTGATGGTATTAAGTATTTTAATGTAATTGTTGTGTCACTTTGATCTCATTTGCATGTGAACTATACTGAAGGACATGTGGCAGCTCTTTTCTTTTTATGATGCTCAAACTTCAACATTTGAAATGAGCTGTAAGGTTCACTCCACTGAAGAACATCTCCGTATGCAAAGTCTACCTTTTTAGAACCCACCATAAAAGTTGTCTGTGTTCATTTACCTCAAGGTTTTTTTTTGATAATGCAGACTTCTGAGCTGGATAGGAAAAAAAAACATTCAGAGCTAAAATGTTTAAAAAGACAATCAAAAGAATCTGTATGTGTTGAACTTGCTATAGATGTTTTAGTCAAGAATTACTGTTCTTAGAAGAAATAACAGTACAATTGTATATTTTTCTAAACAGCACGTGTGCAGCTTATCAGCTGGTCTGATAATATATATAGCAATGAGTGCAATGATTTGGTGTCTTGGTCATTTATTTATGACTTTAAAATAGCATCATAGTCTGGAATGATCTGTGAGAATAAGAAACTGGTTTGAAGCTTTATCTATCTAGATTAAAGAAACAAAAAATGCTTAGAATCTTGAACCTACAGTATAGATGATTGAATCTTCAACATCTCTTCCTGCCCTGTAACTTTTTTACTGTACTACATTTCATTACATCCAACAATAACAACCTGATTCTAGTTCTTTCCGATGTTCTCTTACCATGCACAAAATTAGGGAAAGCCCTCATAGTCATTTTTTGTTATACTTTGTATAATTTTTAAAACCAAATTGCAATGATCACAGAAATAACGGAGTATATGTTTTAGGACCAGGTAGGCAGAATTGCAACAGGAAAAGTTAATGAGAGGCAGAGTGATTTAAAAAAAAATATCTGAATTTCCAGGTCTGTATCTAGTGATTTATATATTTATTTCTTGGCAAAATATGCTTTGAGTATATTTCATGTATGCGGTGGCTTCATTTTTCCTCTTCTATTACAATTCACTCAAACAATAACAGGTGAGAAAATCTGGTGGGTCCAAATACATTTTCTGAAACAGTTTATCATTATGGAAAAGTAGCACAGGCCTATAGAAATCAAATGGCGAAAGAAAGAACATAAAATCTGCCATCAGTAATAATTGGAGGTATGTGTTAAAGAGGGTGTTACATCGTACCTCTTCAATCCTTTTTTTTTTTTTAAGAAACAGCTCTCTTTTCTATGCAACTTGAATAGTAAGTTTCTTAAAAGAAAGGGTGATGGATAGGTACGGAAGATTGCTAGGCTAGCAAAAGTCATTGAACTAACAGAGGACATCTTTTAAAACCACCTGTGTGATACAATGAAAATGGGTAATTTGTCTGGGGGGATTTGAACAAACTCAAAATCCCTCTCATCAGTCAGAAGTAAAGTTTATATATGTTCATTATTTAGATATATGGCAAACACTTATAAATCTGCTTCAGATTTCCAGATGTATTGCAACTTCAGTTTCTAGCCAGCTTATCAAAAGACTGGATAAAAATTCCCTGGATAAAAATTCCCTGAGTTAGTTTCAGCATATTTGGGAGACCCCAACACATGTGGGCAGAAATCTAATGCCAGTAGTAGGGAGGTGTAAAAATGTTGGAGGGGGGAATAGAACAAAGGCAGCCTCGGATCAGGTGGTCCCAAGACCTTTCATTCATTAAAGAAGTTCCAGAAATGGATTAATCCTCTAAACTGGACTCAGATTTATGCATCTAACTTTCCTCTCATACTAATTGGAATTGGAAAGGAGAGGATTAACTGGGGAGAGAAAAAGAGTCTACCAAACGTTCTTCCTATCCTAGCAACCAGGAGCTAAAAAGGCTTTGTAAGCTGTGATGGACCCTATTTTATACTCACCCTGCCACATAGGACTGGAAGCTTGTAATTCTGTGGTACAGTGCTATTTAGTATTCACAACCCTGCTGAATTCATTATTCGAAGCACTACCAAATCAAGAGATAATAATTCTTGAAACACTGGAATTGTGAGATGATTATTGTTCTAATCTGTGTTAGATCTAAAATTCTATTTACAAAGTTTAGATAGTGAAAGTGAGTTGAACGTTTTATTTTTCTAATGATAAGATTTTTAAATAAATTTTTTAATAGAGATCCAATGAACAGGTTAAATCACGGATAAATAAAAGACTATTTTATACAACAATTGTTAATCAGTCTTGTCTTTGTTTAGAAAAAGATGGTCAGCACAAGCATAACAATGTAAAAATATAAAATATAAAAATCTAGCTAATTCTACAATTCTAGCTAATACAAAGTGTGAATATGTGCATATACTTACCCACTTAATGCTTTTGTGTATTGCTTATTTTTCAACAGAAAACCCAGAGAATGAATCTTGGTTTTCTGAATATTCATCCAGGTTCTGGATACTTTTAAAGCTTACTGTTAAATAAATATTTGTATATACATACATACATACATACAGTACATACATACCCATCAAGCTATTCTATCCCAGAGTAAGCAACCTTATGCCAAACACAAAATGACTAAGAAATATTAAGACAAATATGTTAAATGAATGGAATGAGAAAAAGAAATAGATAAAACTAGATTACATTACCACCACTATATCTCACAGTAGCCTTCTGTCTTCAGAAACCATTCTTACTTCCCCCATATACATGGTGCCTTGTTTTGCACATTGCCCTTTGTTGTTAAAACTTTTGTTCCCAACAGTGAAAAATATATATGTAGCTCAGGGTTGAAATGCTGGTTCCCAGGGTTTCTCTGATCTTGTTATCTATGAGGAAGTTACTTAGCCCATTAATGAAATGGAACCCGAAGAACCCAGTGGTCTTTAAACGTCTAACTTCTCTCTTTTAAGGTTATCATCAGCTTAATCCAACCACAACATTTTTGATCTTCCCCTTCCCTTGAGTCATTCATCCTTCACATACTTGTTTTGCAATTTGATCTTCATTCATGTTCCTACATGACAAAGCCTCAAAACATTTGTTTCATACTGGTCATTCAATCTTATACATTCATTTTATATCTGATTAACATTAATTCTTAACCCTATCTGCTTTGGTATTGCTAAGTACTGTAAAGCTTCCCATTGCATTCAACTTAATTTTTCTCTTGACATCTCCAATTCCCATTAAAAAAAAACAACCTTACAGCTATTTTTGTTTCTTTCATTCCTCACAAAGATCACCCACCATGTATTACCTTACTACGAATGTTTGTACTTCCTAATGTTTTCCCATCCATTTCCCCCTCTGTAGTAAACTTTCTACCAAGGTAGACAAACCTATTCACTCAATGTAGTTTTTCACCCTTTATACAAATCCTGCAGTTATTAACTTCATTTTCCCTATGAGCACATGGATGTATATTTAGGTCTCCAATCAACACACCCTTTCCATCACCACAAGCATCCCTTATAAATATAACAAACCACTAAGGTGATATCACTTATTCTGGTCGTACTCCCTGCTCATGATGAAACACTGGCTAGAATTACATCTGTCACATTTCGCATATCGTTACATCTGTCACATATCGCTCTTACACATTTCTCCATGACATGCTGAAGAACTTGAATCAAACTCGGGGAGCACTAAAAATTGGGGAGCCCTGTGTGGCTCTAGGTTGGGCAGTGAACATGCAGATACATTTTTTATGGATAAAAATCTGATTGCGCTTCCCAGTTTTTCCTCACTGTCACCTATGCAGCTCTTCAGTCAGATTGCTGCCATTCAACTTCCTAACAACATTTAACAGATTAATCCTGCAGTATGTTTTGCATTCTTTCTTGCTGGTTTTATTTCTGTAGAGGAAAACAATCCCATTCTTCCAATCACCGGCCACAAATGCAGCCTTTGCAAATATGCCGCCAGAGTTACACAATCACTACTAAAAAGTTCACATGCTTATTTTAATATTGCACCAATTATATGAATATACTTTCAGGCCTTATTATTCAACATCCTCACAACATTTACAATTTAACTTTTCATCCTTTTTCCTGCATGCTAATAATTTTCACATCCATTTAAATCTCACTCTTTGATATACAGTAATTCCCATACAAATCTCTAAAGTACTAGTTTCAGCGTTCCCTCCATTCAGTTCCATACCAATTCATTTCGTTACAATTTTAATTCCATTCACTCTCCTTGAGGCTCTTTATTTAGCTTGTTTCAGTCATTTCAGACAATGTTTTTATTTTCATTTGAATTGTGCTACATTTTTAATCTTAGTATTTCTTTATTCTCTTAGATTAAAAAAAACTGTAGCTATCTTTCTCTATACAGATAATCCTCAGTTAATGATGGCAATTGGGACTGGAATTGCCATTACTAAAGTGCTGAAGTTGTAAAGCATGATGTCACATGATTGAACTGCGCCGTGATAATTCTAGCAGTCTAGAATTAACAACAGATAATTCTGTTGTTAAGTGAATCACCGTGAGTCATTAAGCAAGGACATCATATGGTTGCCATTTGCCACCTCCTTCCAGCTTCCCCATTGACGTTAGTGTTGGAAGCCAGCAAAGAAGCTCACAAATGGGTGACATGACCATCGGACTCTGTGTTGTCATAATTGTGAGCTGAGCACCAAGCAGGGATGCTGTGACAGCTAGGACTCTGAGGAGCCGTTTTAAGTACCACTTCTTCAGTACTGTTGCAAGTTTGAGCAATCACAAAATGAGTGTTTATCAACTGAAGATCATCTGTAATGTATCCTTTTTCTCAACATTTTGCAGCATTTTTCCTCATTTCCAACCCTTTTCATTTCATTGGTCCACCAAGCATTATTTTTCATTCTTCCCACTAATCTCCACACACTGTTGGAGTGTAAATTTGTTTTCACTCTATTCCAAGCAGGTTCTACATCCACTTTCCTTATGTCTGCTTTCCATTCATTGTGTTATCCACTTTCTTTCTTTCCTTTCAGGCTAGTTCCTTTCACTTCTTTGCTTTTGTTCCTGATCTACTTTCTCCCAAGCTCAGTTTTAATAATCAGTCACAACTTTATATTTTTCATAATTTCTTTGCCATATGCAAGTACAGACTTGTGCTTAAATCACGTACTCAAAACGAACAATTTCCTAAGCAGATATCAATCCCCTTTCTCATTCAGTTCTGCATTTCCAAACAATCTAATAACTTTGTTCTGTACCATCTTGTCTTATTCCCATCCATTGTATCATACTACCCACCCCATTCCCTGCCCATGGACTGCAAAACCTATTGCTGGTTGTTCTGTTACCATTGTACACTAGAGTATAACATGCAACTTTTCCTAGTGTATGGATTCTTATTTTCATCTGTACCCACAATGCAACATGACACCAATTCATACTTTCTGGCATATATTTTAGCTCTGTTCCTTCCTTGCATGGATTCTTCAGTATTACCCAGAAAAATCTGACCATAGTACTCTGTTACAAACTATTGACATCTTCCCCATTCTTAGTTTCACAAACGCACAACATACTTAGCTTTCTTTCACTTATTAATTCATGTTCTTCCCACCTAAACATTTTTACTTCAATCTTCTATTTGCCATAACCAACATCAGAAAGGCTCACCTGTATTAAACTTTTTGCTTATCATGGTGTTGATCAATTAAAATTCTCATCCAGGGCTTTTTAGTAAGACAGAGAATACTCAGCTTAGCTGGACCATGACACAAGTAACAATCCCTCCTTTTGCAACAACAGGACCAGTCAGTTGTATATTCTTTCATTGGTATACCACAAACTCAGAACTCAAGCAAGCTCATACTCTTACATGCAAGCTAAGGTCTCTAATCTAGAGACTACCTTGCAAAATAACCTATTGTTGCCTGCAATTGACTAACAAGAGTGAGGCATATGCAGTATAGGGACACACTCACAATCTCTTTTAGACAATAATATAGAGAATTTAAGTAAGTGGCTCAACATATAAAGCATTTGAAACTGAAGATTTTACATAGTGCAAATATATCACAATCTGATAAGTATTAATTTAAAAATATACCTTGTCAGGACTGGGGTTAGGCTCCTGAATAGCAAAATTAGCTTTACAAAGCTGAAATTGGTAAACCATTTTCAGCAAAAAGGCTTGGTATATCTCATTCTGCTATGCATTAATCTTAATTCTACTCACATGCTTGCCTTCACCCCATGTACATATATGCACAGATGTGCACCACATACAAACATATAAATGGGAATTGCAGGAAACTCTTGTCTCATTCTATTTCAAAGAAAAGCAAATATATTTTGCTGGCTCAGTTCTGATTCTAGATCTCACTGTGTTTCAACCACCCATTCCCTTTCCTACATGGACAAAGCTTGAAAACATGCTTTGTTGAAGTATTTAGGTGTTACTTTCAGTGTCAATTTTCTATTTTTTCTATGATGGTGCAACTAACTAACCTACAAACTGTCGTGGCTGTGATTATACATTACTTTCTTTGCAGTAGTATATTTGAGGATGCAAAGAGTTCTGAACTGGAGTATGAGAGACTTTCAGTGAACCCAATTAAACCTGGTAATACGTTCGAGTTGAGGTTGCAAATTAAGTGAGAAAAAAAATCTTCCATGTAAATTTACAGTCATAAATATTATTGCAAATGAGTGGATTCTATTGAATTTAGTACAGTCTGCTTTATGGTGATTGGTCTTTATAAGAGACCTACGGAAGGGGCGAGGAATGCTACCTGGTCTTCAAAAGGAAAAGGCAGATGCAGCAGCAGACTGCTAGGTGAAGAAAGTGGGGAGAAAATGGAAATCAGAGAAAAAATGTCAGGAAGAAACTTCCTTATCACCCATGTTTATAATCGGTACCATTGTCACTACTTTAATTTCAGCATTTCCCTGATTGTACTACTGTTGTGCAGGTCTGACATCATACTGAAAACCTGACCCTCCAAAAAGTCAATACCATCATCTCTCATTCCAGCAAACCAGGTCATGAGGCAAAGAGGTGACTAAAGCAGTACCATAAGTCATTTAAAACAACAACAACAACAACAACAATAATGACTGAATTCTAAAAAAAGAAAGAGGGGGAATTCTTTAAATGTTTTTTAATCACAACAAATCTCTGGGATCTTTTCAAATGATGGCTATTAAGTAGGTTTATTTTTTTGTTTTGTGTTGTTTCTCAGACTGAGTACGGTATAAAATATAACTGTATAGTTTACTATAACGCCAATATGGCTGAATACAGGTAAACAGCTCCACAGCTGAAAGAGGAGTAAAACTGCACACTCCAAGGAAGTATATTTTGACTTTTTATATATTTATATATGTATATATATACACACGCTCACATACCTGCACGCATACATTCACACATTTTTTAAAAAAAAATAGCAAAGCATAAAGAAGACAACATAGTGGCATTAAGAGCAAGTGGTGTGCATTCAGATAGTCATCGGTGAATAGCTGATTCCTGGAGCAAGAAATGGATTCTTCTAGCATGTCCAAAAGGACTGGAAGTTGGGATGGCTTTAAAAAAAAAACCCAAAAACTGAAGGGGAAGAATTCTAAGATAAGGCTAATTCCCCTTGTTTCAGAAGCTGTGCTGCCTCTACCAAAGCAGCCCATCTTTACCAGTCATTTACCAGCACTATCATCAGTCAGTGGTTAGTCTGATACTCTTCTCCCTCTGGTAAGAACACAAGGGATTAAAATGCCTTTTTCCATTTATAAAAGCGCATCTAAAACACTCCAAATTAATACTGTCAAAACTGAGAAGAGGCGAAGAGTCTGTGGTAAGGCTAGAACATCAGCTGCATATTCTTTGTCTTCCTGATAGAAAGTGGCTTTGAATTCATGGACTGGTTGTAAAAGGGGAAAAAAACAAAAAAGTGCCTACGGGGTGCATATCCGTTCAGGACCCTTTTGTCTGTTCTTTGTAACTAAACGTGTGCCTATTTATAGCAAGTGTTAGCTTTGTACTCTCCAAAGCTGAATACTGACATGTTCATCTCCACATAGGCAGTCTCTGCAGTGGTCCTTCAAGCCCACCTCTTGGGTGTTGGGCTGATCCACCCTCAAAGGGTAATTTTGCTGTTTCTGTTGTTCCAGCAGCCCCTTCTGTTGGTCCTGGGAAGAGTCAAGCTGGAGCGGCTTCTCAGTTTCACTTGCCCGTCGAGGGAGTTTTTCTTCCGCAAGACAAAGTCAAAATTCATCTGGCTGTTCATGGCATAAAAGACGTTGGCACTATCTGGGATGACCAGTTCTGGAAAGAGCAGAAACAATGGTAACAAATGATGGGCAGATTCCTTCTATTCATGTCATCAGGATAGTTGGGGCAACTGTTAAAGATGCAGTCCTTCAGAGGAGGCTTCCTTCTTCATTGAAAGAAGGAAAACCAATAGAGCTGTCCAAAATTTTCCACCACGACATGCCCCAAAACATGCAAATGAGCAAAGCACCCCAGCCCACCCGTCCTCCAAGCACTGAAACAGCCACATCTTCTGAATGTTTGGCATAGCTGTTTTGTGGGATCCTCCATCTGCCTGCAGGAGAAGGTCCACGTGGGCCACACTTCTTTTACGTGCACAAACATATGCAATCAGTCATAGACATCCTTTGATACAGTCTCACCAACCCTTCCAAAGACTGAAACTTATTTACTGCTTTGATGTGTGTTGGGGGAGGGTTCACTTTCATCAATACACTTTGGAAAACAGCTCTATCCATCAGCTCTAAAATTAATCTACCCAAAGACTTCTGCTTATCGAGCTAGTGATACACTGATGTGGACTTGGTGATACATTTCTGTGGGGTGGAGTGAGTTTCTGCTCTCTCCCAACATTCACTCCACTTATTTTATGTCAAAACTGAAAAGAACCACCAGGGAACAGAAGGTCAGCTACTTGTTATTCAACTCCCTTCTATCATTCTCTAGGCTAGAGAATGGCAACATTTTTTGTGGTTGCTGGCTTCACAGCTTCACCATCATTATTATGGTGGCCTTTGAAGGTCATGCTATGCAGCAGCATGGCGATGTCACCAGAGATATTTTCCTTCTTTGTTAGATTTGTATCCCAGCTTTCCCCTCCCAAGAAGAAAATATGCTTTCCCCTATTTCTTTTCTCAGCAACAACAATCTTGTCAGGTAAACAGAGCTGAGACCAAGGAAAGGCAAAAGGTTGAGCAGTGATCTCAATTTGTAACTTTTTTTTTCTTTTTTGCAATCTTCTCAGCCTATCTCAGTAGTCAAACTAGCACCTATTTATGAAGTAGCGAGTGTGACAGCAGCTAGGTTCTTAAAAATTTGAAGGTATACATTTCTGTGAACTGCAGCTCATATCATCAGATACACCACTTCATCAGATTCAGCTCAGAAAAGCATATGCTTGTTAATAAAATATATCAGTAGGAAAAGATGCTACCAGCCACTTGACTTTTGGCTACCATAGATTAACATGTATATAATGACAGCACCAGTTTCTTCAGCTGCTCTTACTTGCATGTCTGCTACCTCAGATCTGTTTCTTTGGGATCTCTTCATAGAAGATTTCTGTAAATCATCTCAGTGCATATAAAAGGGAAATATTCATTTCATCTCTCTTTCTCTCTGTTTCTCTATCATATCTATCTATCTATCTATCTATCTATCTATCTATCTATCTATCTATCTATCTATCTATCTATCTATCTATCTATCTATCATCTTTTATCTCAATATGCATCACATGAATATATTGGAGAAGTGCTATAACACATAGACCACGGGTGTCAAACTCGCCGCATCATGTGACATGTCACGATGTATCATGACTTGTTTCGCATTGCAGGAGCTGGGGTGGGCGTGGCCTCCGCATGATGCAACCAACCTGCGGGCCGGCAGTTTGACACCCCTGATATAGACATACTGTTCCTTTCCAAAGGTATTGTATTTAGTAAGTTTCTCCTCTCTTTTATTTTATTTAATCTCCAGAAGCTTAAATTTCCTAATTTTTGACTACCCTCACTCATTTGCCAAGGAATATACAAATCTGCAACAAACATACAAAAAGGGTGGGGAGGTTGAAGTGTGTGTGTGGGGGGGGAGAGGGGACAAAACCCAACAATCAAACTAAGCAGTGAGAACATGCAATATTATACACTTAACAGCCACTGATTTCTCAAGTGAGTTTTTTGAAAAGAGGTTCATGAGGAGTAACAGCTTTCAATTTTGGAAGGAGCAGTTGGTGAAGACAGTGTAAAGGAGGAGGGACACCCAATGACACATAAATCACATGTACCACTGTGTGATAGGATGAATAAAAGACTTGTTCTGTCTCTTCCACTGAATGACTTTGGCATATTGCCAGGAGCTGCCCTAAAGAATAGCCATTCCCTTTTGATCTACATCCACCTCAGATCTCCCCATGGCCACACATATACATGTGTTGCATTTCTTCAACCATTTTAGCTGCACTCAACAAAAATGACCAAATGGCAGGGTTCCCTTGTTAAACTAAGCCATGATTTGTTTAACTATGATTTATTGACTAAATTGGCTGGGATTCACTAAACTAAAAACCATAAAACATGGTTGACTGAATATGAGTGCAGATCAGCACATGCTGGTACCTTTCCCCCCCTAATTTCTGAGGTTTGAATAAACCTGCTATTCTGATGAATTAAAAAGGAAAGTAGGGATTGAGAAGAGTCACCTAGGCCAAGTTGAAAATAATGACTCCAGTTAGCAATACCAATAAGCCAAAATTTACAGGGGTGCACAGAAGCAAAAGCTAAGGAAATAGCAGGAAGATAAAGCAATACAGTTCCCAAAGGTTTTCTTTCTTTTTCAAAGAGACAGCAATGGGAATGTAGAAGGTCCGAGAAGAGAAGATAATTATCATGACTATCAAGGGAAAATGAAACACAATTTATACAGGATATTACCTTGACTTCTGTCAAGATATTTTGTATAAAAAAGGGTCTCCCTGGAACCACAAGGAAGTTCACTGTTACTAACTAAAACACAGTGCACACCTTGATCATGAGATGGACAGGGCAATTGACTGCTATTCTCATATTAGCTAGATCTCTCAAGTTACACTCCATTTTAATGAGCTCAGGAATGCTGATAAAAGTCCTTCATTATTTTAATATGGACAGGGCCAGCCACCTGTTTCATTTAAAAAAGGTAAAGTTAAGAGATTTTTTTTTAAAAAAAAATACTATTGCACAATTGTAAGCAAAACTGGTATGCAAGTCCAGCACAAAAGGCTCAGCTCTTCTTTAAGGTTGGGCCCAAATCTACTGCCAAACTAATGGCTTTTTTTCAATTAGGGATAGAAGGGGTGGTTTGTGATTGCAGCTGCAATGTTATTTAGTAAACCTAAATACTTGTAAGAAACTGTTTGCTAAGCCATTTATCACAATGATGCCTATGTGACATGCTGTCATTCTTGATTGAGAATGAATGCTGAAGAAAGCTGGATACTCCAAAGATAACTGAAAGCATGAAAAATGTGATTCTTAACAACCCTAATCCTGGGCAATGTACAATTTGATCAATAAAAATATTAAAAACTCAATAATTTAAGATTAAAATATAAAAACAACACTATAAAATTGCAAATGATGGAGAGTTCCAAAATGGAGGAGACAAAGAGTTGTTAATACAGGTAGTCCTCGACTTACAACAATTAATTTAGTGACTGTTTGAATGAAAAAAGTGACATGACCATTTTTCACACCTACAATCGTTGCAGTACTCCATGATCATGTGATCAAAATTCAGACACATGGCAACTGGTTCATATTTTTGACAGTTGCAATGTCCCCAGGTCATGTGATCACCTTTTGCGACCTTCTGACAAGCAAAATCAATGGGGAAGCCAGATTCACTTAACAACTGTGTTCCTAACTTAATGATTGCTGTGATTCACTTAACAACTGTGTCAAGAAAAGTCGTAAAATGGGGCAAAACTCACGTCTCACTTAGCAACATAAATTTTGGGCTCAATTGTTGTCATAAGTCGAGTACTACCTGTATAGGCAGGGCATTCTGTATGGGTCCTTGATCTCTGTGTTTAAAAAAATTCAGCCCATCCCCACCACTGCCTATTTCTTTCAGATATTAAAGTTCAGATCTGATAGAATGGATTAATTTCAGGTACACTTGCAAATTAAAACACCCAAGAGATGTGGCTTGAGCCCTTTGCCTTCAGAAAAAAAAAATGACTGGTTTCCTAAAACAAAAGTCTTGTTTTCCTTACCTTTGTCCTCAGAAATGACCTGCACGAGTTCGTAATCCTCAGCAGGATCCGATTCCAGGTTGTGTTTCAACATGGCTCGCTGGATGACAGCAGGAGTCTTGTCTTGGCTAGTTAACTAGAAAGAAAGAACAGACTGCGATGAGGCCTTCCTCTTCTCCACATCTGGATTCCAGGCAGGCTTTATGTTTTGATTGCCTAGTCTTAGTGCCCTGAGCTATCTTCTTTTGAATGGACTCCTCAAATAAGAATGCTACATAAACAGTTGGCCGAAACAGTTGTTTTTGCAGTTTAGGTCAGGGGTGTCAAACTCCCGGCCTGTAGGCCGGACGCATCACGCGGAAGCCGCGCCCACTCCATTGCCGGCAATGGCAAAATAGTCTCGATATGTCGCGCGACATCACATGACATCACGAGTTTGACATGTCTGGTTTAGGTTATACGTTAAAGGGTTTTTTCCCCCTCCCTTGAGTTAGTATTTATAGCAGAGTACAATCTTAATGTTGCTGTGAGTTACATACCAAACCGTATGATGTGAGAGGAACAGAAGTAGTTGTGGAAAAATTAAGCTATTTTATTGCTCTGTAACATTGCTCTTATTATTATGGGACCTGATATTGAACAGGGGAAGAAGGGAAGAATTTCAGAATCTCCCAGAAGCATTACCAAGAGGTTTCCACTGCATTACTGAATGAAGAGGGACAACAGATGGTGGGAAGAAGTTCATCTGGTCCTTGTCCTGGGAAAAATATATGCCTCCAATTTTAATCCAGGAAAAAAAGAAAGAAAATCACATCTAAAATCTGGGGAAAGTTTACCTTTGTTGCTCTGGAAGCAATAATTAACTAGTTTTAATTAAATGTTTGAATTATTTGGCTTATTTATGTACTTTTCTAGGGACGTTTAATCAATATGTACCCTGAGAAATTTGTATTGATGCACTGAGGGGAAGCTGTCTTTTACACACACTGAAGAAATCTCTTTCTTAAATTAGCTGCAAACAGTTCAATCTGGAAAAAAAAGTGTTGATTTAAACAGCTTGATAAAAAGAAATGCAATATGTGTTGTTGTTTTTCCCTCCAAAACCGACCAGCACTCAGTCAAAAAGAAAGAAAGAGAGATCCCATCTTACATTTTTGGTTGTCTTAGTATGTCTGCATTGTGCACCAGTAGAAAAGCTATTTGCACAAACCAGTGGAGATTGCAACAAAAAAGGGAAATACACTGCTATACAATATACACTGCTATATTGCTTTTATAACCAAGAGTGAAGACTCTCTATTTTGCTCAATAACCCCTAATTAGAATGCTCTGTTATTGTTTAAAGAGATTTGATATTAAAAACAAATTCCCTATAGAGACAAATATTTAAAAAGGAGAAATTCCAGTAGGTCCTATATGTTCTTGATTCAACTTCAATTCCATGTAAGTCAAAACCTTGCTTGAAAGAAGGCAGAACAGAAACTGTAAATCAATACAGCATACAAGACTCCTTTGTCTTCCCATCTCTTTGTGCTAATTCAGCGCAAATTATCTTTAGGCATACAAATAAATTTGCAGAATGGTGATTTGGATAGCTAGTACAATCATCTTGCACAGAAGTGGTGCAAAAAAAATGATGGTGCAGTAATCTCAGGATGAATAATGGGAAATACTATTTTAACTGATATGTTTTGTCATTTTTGTCATGTAATACATAGCTTATACATACACAGTTACATAAAACATATTATGAGGTTAATTTCCCAGATCCGATGTTCTTCAGATATGTTAAGGTTATAATTCCCAGAACTCTCAGATAGCATAGCTAATAAAGAGACCAGACTAGAGAAAAAACTAAATTAGCTATTTCTGGTTCTGTATTTCTCAGTGTCTGGCTTTTGACAGTTCCATGTAGTAGATTATCCAATGTTGATTGGTTGGTTATTGGACTAAAAATCTGTAGTCTCTTCCAAATTTTACACAAATCATCTTTCCAACAAGTCTTACACAAAGTATCATTTCTTTCTTAGGTACTTGTAATTGTATGCTTAAGCAATGGACCAAAAAGATAGAAAAATTACATTTTAAAATGCCCTACAATTTGCTCCGAAGAGCCATGGAAGAAATGCATGTAAAAAACCCAAAGTTATTCAGCATGTCAGAAATTGTTACAGTGATTGGTAGAAGAGCTTTAGGATTCTTGACAGGACTCCTCTGTGGGAGATAACAGGAAGTGAATTTGTGAATTTTTGCATGAATGATTCGGGATCTGAGTTCATCCTCAAATTGAGGTATCTCAGTGATTCAGCCCCTTATAAATTAGCACAGTCCTCATGACATACCATAATGCTCTTATACATGTTGCCATTATTGTCTTCAACACTGATACGGATGATACAGGTATCTTCGTTCTGTTGGTTGTAAACAGGAGAGGAGACTGTTGAGGTAATGGAGGTGACAGAAATGGAGCGTTTGTGGATTCTGGGATTGCTGGCCAGTGAAGGAGGAGACACAAGGACATTGGTGAAGGATGATACTCCTGATGAAGACGTGTCCATGGAGTGGATGGAGGAACAAGAGGAGGAGGACTCTGTGAGCTAAGGAGTGAAGTCATAAAAGACAAATCAAAATATTCATTTGATTTACGGTAGTTTCTAAACTGAGGATTTTTTAAAAGAAGATGGTAGCTAAACTTTAAGGTCATTTTCACAGCACCACTTGCAGATAAAGCGGTTCCAATATTTTGGTCAGTACAAATTTGCCTCCACTATAAATTGATATCCTGCCAATCCTTTGTAGATGTAATTAGAATTTTCTACTCTCTTGGAAGTAGCAATCTGATACACATATGCCTAAAGCAAGTTCCACTGAAGGAGCGTATATTAAATTGTACCACTGGCAGAATTGAAGAATAGTCCAAGTTAAGACAGACATGCTCTTTTGAGCTTTTTATTTCTTTGCATATAGTATTAAATAATCTGAGAGAAAAGAAGTATTTATAGCGTAAGGTGTGTGCAAACAAATTGTATTTCCTGAATTTACAACTGACCAGCAGATGGCAGAATCTACAATTTTTTCTTAGCTTATTGTATAGCTACAGCTAAATCCACAATCTTAGAAAATTCTTGCTTTTGCAGTTTTTTAAACTGATGTTCTCTCCCCTGTAGAGTAAGAGGCTCCTTTATAAAGTTTTAAAGGGTTTTATTCAACATAGAAATGTTATTTTTCTTCCAAGATCACCGTTTGTTTTTGTTTCAATCAAAGAGTATATATGAATCTCAGGGTTGAACTGTGGAATCCTTGATGCTCTCTGAGCTTAATTGTTTGTTTGAAGACATGAATCAGCCATCGACAGACACATAGAGATAAATCACATGTACACACCAATCTAAAAAGACAATAAAAAGGCTAAGAAGGAAACAAAAAGACCAGAACACATCCTCTCCAGCAATCAACACCCAGATAAGCAAGGATTAACACCTGACAAACAATCTAGCAAAAAAACCAATGCCCTATTCAAGGTACTACCAAGGAGTAAATCACACACTCACATGAACGCCAGCAGGGCAAGCTACTATAAACAGGCAGCAAACACATACACTCACTAGTAGGGATGATGTTATCTAGTTGGACAAACAAACAAAAACAAACAAACAAGCTCAGAGAGCACCAAAGCACTCCATTGTTGTTCTTATCTCAGGGAGCTTGATTTCTGAGGTGGGGGAACTTGATCCAGGGGTGGGGAAACTTTTAACTCTCTATATAATTATACTAAAATACACTCAAAATGATGAGAGATTCTGTGAATTACAATTCAGCAATATCTGGAGGTTCACAGGTTTCTCACTTTGATTCTACAGAGAGATGAGATGGATGGAGACAAAATGCTTTCAGATTCATATTTAGGGTAAACTGCCCCCCCCCCCCCGGTAAATCAAGCACTTTCATTGCACCAGAATCTGGCTTTCTCCTACTGCAGAAAGTATCACCAATTCAACAAATGAAAACCATCCAACAAGGCTATTAACCCATTGGGCATGATGGCTAATGCAGTGGGGGTGCTCCATTCACTTCCCATGAGGATCTGAATCCTCATAATGCCCAAGAGTTAAAAACTGTAAATGAGTTTCAAGTGGGGTAAAAAAGTTTCTGCATCATAGTTAGTATTTTCAGATAGACACTAATCCATGGTTTTTCAAACTCAGAGATGTACCCTCTCCCCTTGGGGAGATGCAGACAGAGTCCAAGGCAGGTATGAAGAACTTTTTAGTTGTATATTGTTACAATAAATGAACATTTCCTAAAGTTTCATTGTATTGTTTTCATTTTGGCGTTTGGATTTTTTAGGGAGATAGCTACCTTAAGATTACACTAAAGGGAGGTGTGATGGTAAAGAGTTTAAGATCCCTACTCTAATCCCAATAGCTCCTCCTGGAAATAAATTGTGCTCTTTGTGGCTCATACTTTCTTTTGGGCCTCATCAGGGGTATCCGTAGGAGTGAGGCAGATGTCCTCCGATTCGGAATGGTTTGACTCGCAGGAAGATACGCTGACTGAATCCATGCTTTCCCCGGAACTCCCGCTTGGTACGGACTTGGGCTGCTCTTTGGTGGGCGTGCTATTAGCAATCACATCAGGTCCCAGAAATAATCTGTCTCAACACGACAAAGTGACAAATGAAAGAGGGCAAAGTGTTGGTAGAGACATTGCACAGAAAGCAAGACAACTAGATCTGAAGTGCAGGTGTGTGTGTGTTTTTTTACAAGCCTGCAATGTTTATTCCTTGTAACCACATTCTTGGTAACTTCAGAGGAGATAGGCAATAATTGTAAGAGATGTGAATTGAAGGTGTGTATCCAACCAGTCAATTTATTGCATACCCAGGAAAGATACTCTCTGTCTGAGGCTTATCAAAGTGCTAGACAACCTTCTTCTTTATTTATAATTCCCAATAGGTAGAAAATGTTGGAAGTTTTATTGTGCTCTTGAAAGAAAGTGGGAGTCTTGATGCGTCATAAGGGAGTGCCTATTCTGTATTCTTGAGAAAATAAAAAGCAGGTGGCGAGTATCTAATTTTGTTCAGGGGAGTCAATATATTATTGCAGCTCTAGTTGATGAAAGCTATATAGCTATATCAATTTCCTTGGGAATTATGAATAAATATGTGCAGTGGTTGCAGTTCTGAATTTTTTCTATGTTTATTTAATTATAGTAATTCATTAAAATCACATATACCTTATATCAATTTTCTAATATAGATTAACTTTGTTATTCTAAATAGCATCGAGGCTCCTGTCAAATTATTTTTCATTTGCAACATTTGATTTAAATTCCCGTGAGGAAGATTGCAATGGCAGATTGTTTATTGTTAATATAGGGTGGGTGGGGTGGGAAAAGAAAAAAGGCATTTTGCTTCAACATCTAACAATGACAGTGAAGTGAGACTGGGATATATTCCTTTAAATAAAATTATATGCTGGTTGGACAACTGCTATATGGATATATATAAGGAAGCATTATTTATTTTGCTTTTATTGCAGGTGAGGGAGACACTAGTAGAGTGCTTGATTATACGCACTCATTTTTCTTTGTTTAAATCTGTGAAAAATGGTTTGCTTCATTTAATGACTCTTGAAGTTATACTATTAATTCCCTTGGATACAGAAGAATGAAGATGATTAGAGCAGTGTAACTTGCCAGTGAATTTCATTTGGGTACCATGATATAAGCCCTTCTGAGGCTTAGAGAGATATCCTATATTTTAAATAGGATGAATTGTTTACCTGCCTCTAAAACAAGGGAGGAAGCTTTTGAAATGTCTATGCTTCCAAACATCTTTGCTTTCAGCAAGGATCCGCAGTAATTACGCGGGAGTTCATTTACACAGGTATAAATGGGGGTTTTGCGTATGATTTCAGAGTTGTCCCATCAACCGGGAGAGCAGATATTCTCTCTTGGGAACAACCCTCAGCTCTTCAGGCCGAGTGGCTCCCAACCTTCACCCCCACTCAAACTCACAGGCTCAGTCGTTTCACCATGCTCTTCCGCGGTTTGGGGGACGTGGTGGTTGTGTCGATGGCTGCTTCAACCTCACAGGAAAGGGCATAGCTGGAAGATTAGAGACCACCTTCTGATCAGAACTGTATAAAATACTGCCGCCATAAAATTAAATCACTGAATTAAATCCACATCTAGGGTTTGTTTGTTTTTTACTTTGGAACAAGGCTTTATATCTAATATAGACATTACTTCAAATTAAGTAGCTATGTTACTAGGAGTTATTCCAGTTTTTCTCAACCCTGGCAACTTGAAGACATGTTCAACTCCCAGAATTCCTTAGCAAGCATGTATTAAAATTGCCAAGACTGAAAAACACTAAGTTATTCAATATGTTTTGAGTATAACTGCAGTTTTCTTCCTTTCAAAGATATATTTTGTGTTATATAGAAACTAGGATACTTCTTCAGCTTATTCTTCTTCCTCAGCTCCCATTTCTGCATGACCCAAGATGGATTCTTTTCAAGGTACGTGCAATATATTCTATATTCTAATATAATGTATTCTAACTCCATGAGCAGATGAAATTCTGAGCACCAGAACTGAGTTGGAACAAATAAATGTTCAAGTAACATGTGCCCCTGGCCTTATATTCCAAACATGAACTAAGAAGAGGGAGAACCAACAGTACACAGAAGCAAAAACATATACACAGTTGGCTTTTCTATAATGGGTTAGGTCTGTAAACAAAATCCATAAAATGTATACTGCATACTGAAATTTAACCTTTTATGCTCACAATTAAAATCCAAACATGATAATATCAGGAAAAGAGAAAAACAAGCTTTGCACCTGCTTAGTGAAACTCAAAATGTCACAGGAAAAGGAAGTTGATATAAAAAGACAACTTCATGTGTTATAAATAGCTGCATATTGCTGTGAATGCTGGCTGGTTATTTTTGGAGAAGCTGAAAGTCAAAAATTATTAACAGACACTACCTTGATCGATCATTTCGGCTTTAACAAAAGAATGCTGAAGAGTCTGGAAGGCTTAAAATAAACCTTTAGCTCAGCCTTTCTCAACTAAGGTTCTGTGTGAGATAATGATTGAAAAAAATAACATTTTTAAATGTTATGCTCTATGCACTATTAGCACTTGCAGTGGTGGGAACTTTTATGTGCCATGACTCAATTGTTGGCCAGCCATTTTTCTGTTATGGTAAACATTACAAAACATGGGTTGGATAGACTAAAAGTTCATTGTCTTGTGACATGTTGGCATTTTTTGGGAAAAAAAATAACTGTCAAAATAATCATTTTTATGTAGAGGTTCTCCCAAAACTAAAAATTATTTCAAAGATTCCTCTGGGATAAAACGATCAAGACAGACTGCTTTAGGTGGTGAAATTATCAGATCTTGGGTGAGCGGCAAAAATGACTTAGGAGAAAGATAAAGCTAAGAACACTATCTTACAGGGTACAAAGGATACCGTCTTGCAGGTGATTGGTTTCCTGCTTCCTGCAGCATCATTTGTAGTATGTTCGGATATTAAATTCATAATAACATTGCTACAAGGTTCCCAAGTAGCGTCACCCAAATTAGAATTAGCTTCGTTAGGACTGTACCTGAAATTTTTCACTGCTTAATGATGTGATGAACTCTAAACTTCTCCAGGTTTGATCCAAAAACTTAAGGTAGCAGTCCAAACAAAGTAATCAAAGTTTTGCCGTGTGTGTGTGTGTGTGTGTGCGCGCACACACATATTTATATGCATTGCACACAAGTACAGGATCATACTTATCCCTCTCTATGAAGGCAGCATGTGCATTTCTTGTATACATTTCCAAGCTGCTTGAATGTCTTGTGTTTTCCACAATAATTTTAAAATACAGTTTTGTTATTTTATCTCAGATGATGGGAGAAATAAGGAAACAGCTGGATTATGCAAAAAAAAAATTCTGCCTGTTACAAATCCAAATTTTATCTTACCTTTCTTCCTCTGTTAATTGTCGCTGTTTCTGGAACCACTGGATGAATTTTTTGTCTGACGTCATGCAGTAGCTATTACAGGAAGACTGTAGGAGTTTAATCTGAGCAATTACTTCAAATTCCTGAAAAAAAAATAATGGAACAAGAGGGGGAATCTGAATGAGGAAAATGGAAGCCCAATATGGATTGTCTCACAGTCAATTTCAGCAGAAGGACGTGGGATAATTGGAGATGTTGAAAAACTCATGACAAGTTCACTGACAAGCATAATATAATTTGGTTCTGAATGGCACTAAGCATCTGTGCTTTCCTTTTTTAAAAAAATAATTTGATTAAAATTTTTAAAACTTACAAAACTAATATAGAAAAAAGAAAAGAAAGAAAAAAAGACAAAGCCACAAATGCAGAAAGAAGACAGAAAGTATAAAAAATTGTGTCTGATTTTCTTTACAGCAGTTATAAGTATAAATGTATCTCTTAATCAATGGTTACAACATGACTCTTATTTTTTCTATAATCTTTTTCCCCCTTAAACATCAAAAGTATAAATCCTGTTTTATGCAAAAAAAAATCTATGAGGGCTTTCCAGTCCAGTTCCCATAAACATAATGTCTTTTCTCTGATCAAAGAAGTCAATTTGTCCATCTCAGCAAGTTCTATCATCTGCATCCATTCCTCCATGGTGAATAGTCTCAAATCTTTCCATCTTTATGCATGTAGCAATCTCACTGCAAAGTCTCTATACTTTTAGATGAATTAATGAAACTAAAGGATGTTCCTTGCTTGATGGTCTAGACCAGGGTTAGACAACCTTGGCTCTTTTATGACTCGTGGACTTCAACACCCAGAATTCCTGAGCCAGCCAAGCTGGCTCAGGAATTCTGGGAGTTGAAGTCCACGAGTCATAAAAGAGCCAAGGTTGCCTACCCCTGGTCTAGAAGGTTGGGTGAATGGTGGAGCACACAGGGATCAAAACAGACTTGCCCACATACCACAACAGGAGACCTGGCAAGCTTTTGCAAGTGTACTAAGCCTCTAGCTCCCTCTTAATACTTGTGTTAAAGAGAGGGAGAAATGATCTTCAACATGGGCGGAATCATGGGTTTTAACTCTGTACTTGCTGGATGCAAAAAGAGCCATTATCTCTACCTTCCAGAGGCAAAGAAAGCCTATTTGCCTCCTCTTCTCCTTATTAGCTCTGCACAACAATAGCTGGTCTCTGGATTTGCAGGATTGCGCCCAATGCCAATCCAGCCACAGAAAGCCTAAGAACTTGTGCTACCCTACAGGCCAGCAACAAGTAGCAGAGGCAATGCCCTGCTACATTTTAGAGGAGTTTCACAAGAGCAAAAATGTGTTCTGACTATGAGACATTTTCCATTGACTATTAAAACCTTCATAATGTGTTAACCCTACACTGATCTTTTAAAAAAATAATAACTTGAATCCATGTGGCTGCCCATAATGTTTTTATAATAAACCGAGTTTATTTTTCTAAAATCTATATTTTAAATGAATGGTATATCCTAGGTAGATTGATTGAAAATATGTTTATCATAATTACGGTGATGACAACATGCAATTTCCTAGATGGTATCTATCCATCTTCATCTTTTTAAAAAAATGAATGGGTGAAATCTTACATAAGAGTAATTTTTTTACAAGGTTTGGATTTCTCGCTAAAGATTCTGTGAGATTTCAGAGAGAATGTGAAAGTCTTGTGAAATTTCAGGTGACAGCACAATATTCTTGGGATAAGCTATGGAGAATCCTACAAAAGGTAATCTTGAAACATTCCTGCATCTAAGCTGATGTGCTCAACATACAATATTATGTGAAGGCAAATTGTGCAGCCAACCAGATGAAGAAAAGGACAAATTGGTCAAATTTTAGTTGAGAGGAATCATATTTTAATACTCCAATAGTCTGTTTCTCCTGGGACATGCTTTACAATTCTGGTTGAAAATGTTAAGCTCTGTAGCTACACTGTCTCCTGTTTCTCTCTAAAAACAAGAAATCAATCCTCAGGTTTTTGGGAACCATTAAAATGTGACTGAATGGTGGAAATAAAATGCAAGCTTACCCGCCTTCTCTTCTCAAAATTTATTAGCCCTCCCTGCGAAAAGAATAAAAATAAAATAAAGAAATGTATTGTATAGTTACAAAATCTGCATTTTTAATGGAGATAATAAAATGGTTACAAAGGAATAAATTTTCCAAAAGGCCAAAACTTTCAAAACTGATTCCATGAAGATGCTTTTAAACCTCACTCTGCAATCAATCGTGGCCTCTCTGCCAAACTTCCTTAAATAATTTGAAAACATGTATACATTCACCATACTTTAATGATTTAATTATGCTAATGCTGATGTACATGCCTAGTAGCCTGAACCACCTGCTTTCTTTACAGCTGCAGGGTGTATAGATGATCTGGGTGTCCTTCCTTTCCCACAGATGATCTGGGAATATGGGGGAACAATTTTGACTTGAAGACATTAGTTAGTTTTGGGTTTGTAATTTTTTATGTGGCACAATTTACACAAGTTACAAATGTATACAAGTTGCAGAGCTTGCTCAAGTGCAAGAATGGGTACCTTGAACCATGGAGTTACAAATCCCTTTTCTACAGCCCCAAGGTCCCTTCTGTCCAGAACTATTATAAAGCATTATTTCACCACCTATTGAGATGGGAGGCACATGAAAACTGCAGTGGCAAATCCTTAATCAATTTAATAGTGGAAGAGAAGAAGGAGAAGGAAGAAGAAGAGGAGGAATCACTGTACCTCCAAAATGTGTACTCAAGCCCAGGAACAACAAAAATTCTGCCCACTTGTGTGATTAAAATCAATCTACTTGGCCACCCAAAATGTTCTGTGTAGGTCTCTGTTCCTGATCTATTGAAACAGCAGCTTTTTACAAAGTGTATTTCCCCATGAAAGAATCTAAGCAATGAGCATTCAGCAATTCTGCTGCTAGCCTGTGGGGACTGTCATAAAAACTGGATCCCGAACTTCTTTGCATAAAGCCATTTTTTTACTGAACTGATTAAATAGAGAGGATGTTCTTGTGTGGTGCCATCAGCCAGTAAAATCACACACTAAAACACAGTTAAAAGCATGAATAAAACAAGATCTACTATGCTTCTTCAAAGCCTGGAACAGTAGCAATGAGTTCTGCTGTTTTCTCAAAGCTGGCAGCCTCAGTACCCAGTAAAGCTCTTGGGATAGTTCCAAAGGAAGAATAACCACAGCATTGGGGTGGACTGATGCAGAAGTGAATGTTTCTGAAGAAAGATATGGGATAAGCTACAGTATTCTGGGCTTCTAGGTAAGCAGTAAGACAGCCTTCCATAACTTGGTGTCCTCAAGAATTCCTTAGTCCCTTATATCTGATTTGAACCTCATAGTCAGACCTCTAAACAGGAATGAAATGAAAAACTAAAAGCATAACTAAAAACAACATAATTTATCCAAACACAATGGAACAATCACAGCCCATATACACAGTTTCACTCTGCAGGAGATACAAAACCAGCCATGATGTTAAAGGGCATCTGGTTGATAAAGGCTGCAGATAAGATCTAGAACGGAACTAAAAACTGAACAGAACCAACCCAGTCCTTTCAAAAAAAGTAAGCTGAGTGTTTCTAAATGTTCATGTATTTACCCTTTTGGGTCCTTTACATCATATTTTTAAAATTCATTTTAGTTATAATTCCTAGTAAACCTACTTAATAATCAAACTGATCAGTCCATCACTTATGAACTATATTCAAAATTATCAACAGAAAATTTTGATACACCAACATAGTGGCAGCTCCTGATGATAGCTCTAACCTAATGCATTAGAACAGGGGTCTTCAAATTGGCCCTTTTATGACTTGTGGACTTCAACTCCCAGAATTCCTCAGCCAGCGTGCCTGGCTGAGGAATTCTGGGAGTTGAAGTCCACAAGTCATAAAAGGGCCAAGTTTGAAGACCCCTGCATTAGAACATTTCTGCATATCTTTGTAATCTATAAAAATCTTGAGATACCATAAATATAAAACTTTACAAAAAAAATCCCTCATGTGGCATATGACTTGTTTCCTTCCTTCCACAATGTTTATTTAATATTTTATGGAAACATCTTTCCAATTTCTCTTTTTGTGTGTTTCTTCTGCTCATAGCTTGAATTACATTTTATATCATTCTGCTAATGAACACATTTGAAAAAATGTAGTGATTATTTCAGACACAATTAATTACCTATGCATGTTATTTGTTAAAAGTGTTTTTTCTGAACGTCTCCCATTGAACCAAGACATAGTTACTCTTCCTTCTGCAAAAAAGTCCCTCATCAAGAGATTGGTACTTCCATACATTACAATCAAATATATGGAATAAGGTTTCTTTTACACCTTAAACATTTCTTTAAGACGATTACAATCGGATTTGTTGTTCGTAACCATAGACAATAAGACACGTATATCTAGTCTAAAATTGGTCTCCTTGTTTGGACACGTTTTGATGATTAAGTTCCTTGCCTTAAATTTAACCCTCTTAAGATTATTACATTTGAGTCAAAATATTGTGTTCCATTTCCTAATTAAAGTCCTGTGTTTGGTCTGTGCCTAGTGAGATGATGCTTTACAAATATATACTGAAGGCAAAACTATTACAGTATGCATGCGTGAGTGTTACAAACTTACCTCCACATAGTCCTGGAGAGCTGTATCAAGCATTGTCAAATCCGTTAAGAAAGTACCAAGGTAAGGAACGGTGCCTTGCATTACACCCTGTGCAGGATGAAAGCACAAAGAGATTAACCATCCTAGCTCTGATTCATTAAGTGCTTTTTGACTTTGGGTCCAGTTCAAACTCCTCTGAGGTTCAGTGATCTGTAGTCTGTACAGTGATCTATAGTCCAGATATCTATACTAAGTTCTATCTACACTATACTACGTATATTTATTTACTCATGAACTTTTCCATGTTGACACGTCTATCGTGAAGGAGCAATCAGATTCTGGCCTAGCAGTGGCTGCTTTTGTGGCTGGTTGAGTTAAACTGTAAGAACCATTCATCCATCAAATGTGATCCAACAGGAAATGAATGAAGTTATTTCAATAGAACACAATATTGTGGAATGGCCTCTCCTGAGAGGTTTATTGAGGCTACTCACACTATTTCATTAAGAAACTTTTTTATTTTTCTCCTCTCCTTGTTTTTTTCTCCTTATACTTTATATCAGCATATTATTTCCCTTATACAGTACGTTGTTTGTTATTGTAAATAATTTGCTTTGGGGAAATAGTATATACATAAAAATAAAATGACTTGCCACTTGTAAAATTATGTCACCTTATTTTTACAGGGGAAGAAAAAAATGACGATCAAATTGGTAATGTATTATTGCAAATAATAATAATAATAATAATAATAATGATGATGATGATGATCATGATGATGATGATGATGATGATAATAATAATAATAGTAAAGTTGGAAGGGACCTTGAAGGTCATCTAGTCCAACCCCCTGCTCAGGCAGGAAACCCTATACCATTTCGGACAAATGGCTGTCCAGTCTCTTCTTAAAAACTTCCAGTGTTGGAGCATTCACTGCTTCTGGAGGCAGGTTGTTCCACTGGTTAATTGTTCTCACTGTCAGGAAGTTTCTC